GGCTTTCTCAATCATCTGGGCTGAGAGTTATCAATAGAGTGAGCAGGATTGATCTTCATGAACTGGATAAAGGGTCCATTCTCCAAGACTTCCCACATTTCATCATGAAGAGCACACAGATGTGCCTTCATTCTGATCTTCCAATCATCATATTTCTGATCTGTGAACATTAGATGCTTTGCAAGAGAGTTATCCATAATAACAAATAAATAGAGGCTAAGAACAAGTGGATCTTTGTTCAGAGAGTAACCTAAAAGATTACAAGAACAAGGAGGCTCTGATACCACTTGTTGGTCCCGTTTAATATGGTAATCAGTCTAGAGGGGGGGGGGGGTGAATAGACTGATTGGTTTTTCAAACTTTCTTTAAGTCAAAAAATGACTTATCAGAGAATGTCTGATTCTGATGACAGAGATAGGCTGGTTCTGATATCAGAACTGGCCTTGGCAGCGGATTCTGATCTGTCCGGGTAGCCTCAGAAACACTAAGGCAAATACCTTCCTGATAACTCTGAAAACAAGATCTGCTGAACACAGATTCCAAGTTTTAGAGTTAATCAGTTAATATCCTAAGTGCAGAAATATAAATAGCAGTAAAGTAAATGACACCGGATATTTTTATAGTGGTTCAAGGAACAACTCGTTCCTCTAGTCCACTGTTCCACTAGCTTTGAAGTAGATCGGTTACAAAGCTTAGTCCTAGCACTTAAGAAGTTCTCCACGCCTTCTTCAAGTCTAGTTGTCACCCGGGATGCAATCCTGCTTCCTGATGACTGGTCCTTTCACTCAGCTTCCCGGAAGTATCACCACTTCACTACTGCAGTTACTTGGACGCCCTTCTTTGCAGAAGATGTTCTGAAAACAGAGTTTTCTCCAACTTGCTTCGTTACAAGAGATATGTAGTTGAAGTTCTTGAAGTGTTGAAGAACAGGGTGAACTTTGCTCTTGTTGGGGATGAGAGATTGTGAGATTGAATCTTCCCAACGTAAGCTTTTTCTTGTTTTTGTGTTGTGGAGTTTGAATCTCAAGAGAGCTTGAAAATTTGATGAGCAAAAGTTGTAGCGAAGTCGTATCCCTGTTCTTCGGTGAGTAGCTTATATACTGGGGTTGTCTGCCCGTTGGAGGAGGAGACAACTGCATTAAATGCGCGTACAGTTGACTTGACCGCCGTTTTGGAAGGTTTCTATTTTTATAATATATCTTCCCGGATTCCTTGGTCAATCATTTGCAATCAATCCTTCAGCGTATCAGGCTCATTTAATGTGCATTAAATGCTTTCCTTTCATGCACAGTCTTCTAGCCGTTGGATGTTTTACCCGTTGGATTCATAGCTGTTGGATGTTGCTTGAAATCTTCTAAGTGTTAGTCGGGCTCTGATCAGGCTCTTCTGATGTGTTGGATTCTGATTGCCTTCTGATGAGTTGAGTTCTGATGTCTTTCTGGTCTCGGATAGAGCTCTAACTCTGACTCTGATGAGTACCTTTGATTTGTAGTTCTCATCGGTTATCAGATGTCCAAGTTTATCAGCAACTCTCATGGTGCAACTCTGATGGACTTCTGCTAAGAGAACTCTGATGGGGCAGTTCTCATAGAGCAAGTCTGGTCGAGCAGTTCTGATGCACTTCTGATCTGATCCAAAATAGAGCAACTCTGATCGTCGACTACACTAATACTTACAATTGAAAAGTCTAATACATAAAATCTAATTTGGGGGTAATCTAACTTTCTAATCCTATAGCATCATCAAAATCTAATTACATTTATTCCTTACATGAACCTGTATTCAGAAGTTGGCCTCAAACAAATTCATAGATTCCGGTATATCATCTGGTTTGACAGCCTTTAACAAAATCAAATCAAGCTCAAACAACCAAGGACCATCATCAATCACACGATTCATATCCAAAACATGATTAAAATTAAGCAGAAACCTTCTTTCACCAATTTCCTTAATAGACATACCCCTCCCTGGTTTCCATAGAGAAGTCATCAATTCCTGAAACCCAGACAGCTTAATCTTGCGGTCAGTAATGACGACCCCTACCACCGGGAAGGTTACTGGTTCCTTCTCTTCATCTCCACATTCATCCAGTTCTTCATCGAAATTTAGCTCGGTATTCTGCTCCTCCATCGACATCCGTTTGTACGAAGCCACAATATCCTCCATACAGTTCGCCTTACTCCGGACGCAAAGCTTCGCACCAGACCCACGCCTCTGCTTGCTAACCGTCGAGATCTTCTACAATTCCTTTGTCGGATCCTCTACAGAGAGGCCGATCCTCAGCCAAAGTGCCGAGATCGGAAAAAACCCTAGCGGCGAACCCTAGGACTACCGAAGATTTAGAGAGACGAGCTCTCAACTCCTAACATTCTTTCGTATGTTTATAAACATATATACTTATAAAACTTATAATAAACTAACATTTCAATAATATATATTAAGATGAAATATTCGAAATTATTTTGATAATTATAAAATAATACCATTTTTTAATAGTTAACCGCCAGTTAACAATTATGGGACAAAGGAAGTATTCGTCATAATTTTTAAGTACTACAATCATACTCTCGTACTACTTTATGCGGACTACATTATTTCAGCAATTCTACAAAACATAATACTCAATTTAAATACCATTGGGCCTACATAAATGAGTATACCTGTAATACCAATAATCAATTTATCATATACTAGTAACTTTTTCCATAACTTCTGATCTCTTAGTCAAGTAATTTTACTTCACCTTTGATATACCTCAAGTCAATTAGAAGTTTAGAGCATCTCTAATGCTCTAATGTGCACGGTGCACATGTGGCATGAGTCATAGCCACATAAATATTAGCAAATAAATTATCTCTCTCCTTATTTAAATGATTTTATACAATTTTGGTAAGTTTTTCCCTGCAATGTCAACAACAATGTCAACATTCAGACGGTCTCCTTGACATTGTGGAGAAAAACTTACCAAAACTATATAAAATCATTTAAATAAGGAGAGAAAGAATTTATGTACTAGTATTTATGTGGTCATCTCTCATGCCACGTGTGCGCCGTGCACATTATAGCATTGGAAATGCTCTTAGAACCATAGTACAGCACTACGGTCTACCTACCTTGTTTGTGTAAACTATAAGCCGGCATGTGGAGTACTTGTATTTAATATTACTACAACACATTCTTTTGAGGCCCTCATGGAATATGAGGCCCAAGGCCACTGTCTGGGGTAACTCCCCTCATGACCGGCTCTGAAACTCCGTATGCAATATATATAGCTAAATTCATATAAATCCATGAAATCAAATACTAGTATGTATGAAATAAGATTAGAACAATACCTTGAGAATTCATTTGCATTAACACTTTAGGAAGACCCAGAAATCCAAGACAGCTAGTAGGCTAAACCTTCCAATACTATGTAGCTTATGAGATAATCCCTTAATCCTATAATTGATGGGTATTTATAGGACTAATTTGAGAATAGTAACGGTTAACCTTAATAATTCCTTCATTATTGATACAATAAGTAGAATAATTAATTAGGCTTTTTTCCGTTACTATGTCGTTACAATTATCTCTTTATTTACATGCATCGGGGGTCATAACCGTTGTATCACTTTAGTGTAATATATTTAATTTGACCCGTCACCAAAAGAAATATATTATCCTGGTATCTACACTTTTATTAATTCATGAATAGCCACTGTATTATTTATCTGATGGTAAACACATTTTAATTAATTACATATTAGACCCCTTTTATTGTTTCCAACATACTAACCAAACACCCCCAAAGTTGAAACTATTTACTTTTACGTGTGTATTTTTTGAATGTAAAGGCATAGTCGAATTTACATGGGTTGAATGTATATTAAGATCAAATTTTATTTAAATATTTTATATTACAATAATTTGAACGTAAATCTTAGTCAAAATTTATTAACACTAAATTTGAATTTTAGATATTAAATATTTATAACATTCAAAATAATAATAATGATATGTACTGAATATAAAAAAATATTGCGTGCAAAACTAACATTCAAATATACACTTGATGATTTGAATGTGATACCCATTTTAAATTAATATAATGAACCTTTTTTATAAAGCGCACTGGAGAGGAGAAGGATCGATTTGCAGGTTCAAGCGGAAGCAAATAGTTCCATAAATGTGAGATTAATGAATACTCACCTGCGAGGAAGATGAAGGGATGTGCGAGCCTGTGGTAGCCTGTGCGACTCAAGAGCGCCTCTACGAGTCAAGATGGAACGAGAGAAGGGACCGGCTTGTTTCATAATTATTAAATAAAAAAAAATGAACCTTTTTTATTGACGGTTCTTTTAGGCATTAAATATTTCATGTAATACTCCATACTAAAAAAGATGCACAAAGTAAAAAACTTGACTGAAAACAAATATAGACCATAATTCTAAATTGGGGATCAGAACACGTGTTGCAGCTGCAATATTGTGGTTGTGGTCTGCAGCGCAACTGCATTGGGCCGCAATGTCAAAGAGATTTTTTATTTATAGGGAAATCTGCAATGTGGCCGCGACGGTACGTCGCATTAGGCCGCATTGGGATGCACCGGGACGACAACACTATCTTTCTTATATCATTTGAACGTAAAACTAATTCATTTGAATTCCTTCCCGATTGAATTTTTAGTTCAAATTTGATATGAGTAAACTAGACTTAATGAATAAGATGCTAAAAAAAATTCATCGAAAAATTTCACTGGAAATCACCCCAAATGGCATCGGCCGTACAGAATATCCTATATATGGCTTTATTTGACATTTTTTTGTAAGTTCGAGGCCCTATCCGACTCTTGTGCCCTTTTTTTTTTTTGAAGTTAATCGGTGGCAGTTAAAATTTGTTATCCATCATGATTGTGAGTATATTAGGAAAGAAGTTAAACAAAAGGCGTATGAGAATATAAATGGAAAGAAGTTAAACAAAAGGCGTATGAGAATATAAATAGCACATGATTTACGTAAATGAAAAGTAAATATACATATTGCGTATCAACTTCTGCAACACGATCCGCAACAGACCCTTCTTCCAAAACAACTTCTGCAACCATGGAAAGAACAGCAAGTGAGCGGCATGCGCCCTGGAAGAAGTACAGGGTCATCAGCGGGCACTTGGGTTCGGTGCGGTGCGTTGCAGTGGACCCCAGCAATACATGGTTCTGCACAGGCTCAGCAGATAGAACAATCAAGATCTGGGATTTAGCAACCGGGACTCTGAAACTCACCCTTACCGGTCATCTTGAACAAATAAGAGGCCTAGCCGTCAGCAGCAAGCATACCTACATGTTCTCTGCTGGTGATGACAAACAAGTCAAGTGCTGGGATCTAGAACAGAACAAGGTGATTCGGTCTTATCATGGTCATTTAAGCGGTGTCTATTGCTTGGCTCTACACCCCACCCTTAATGTCCTGCTTACTGGGGGTCGTGATTCTGTGTGCCGGGTTTGGGATATCAGGAAAAAGACTCAAGTTCGTGCTTTGTCAGGGCATGAGAACACAGTTTGCTCCGTTCTTGCTCGGCCATTGGACCCTCAAGTCATTACTGGCTCACATGATTCAGCTGTGAAATTCTGGGACCTCAGGAATGGCAAGGCCATGTCAACACTCACACACCACAAGAAATCTGTCCGAGCAATGGCATTGCACCCAAAGGAGGATGCTTTTGTGTCTGCCTCTGCTGACAACATCAAAAAGTTCAACCTTCCACAAGGAAAGTTTCTGCACGACATGCTTTCCCAGCAGAAAGCAATTATCAACGCCATGGCTGTTAACCAGGAAGGTGTAATGGCTACAGGAGGCGATAATGGGAGCTTGTGCTTCTGGGATTGGAGAAGTGGCCACAATTTCCAGCAGTCACAGACAATTGTTCAACCCGGGTCACTGGAAAGCGAGGCTGGCATCTATGCAATGGCATATGATGTCACGGGTTCAAGGCTGATTACTTGCGAGGCTGATAAGACCATCAAGATGTGGAAAGAGGGCATAAACGCCACACCCGTAACTCATCCTCTTCAATTTAGGCCCCCCAGAGATATTAGTCTTTTCTGAATGGTGGACATGCTAATATTATTGTTCTTTCTCTCATCTACACCCTCTATTGGTAATGTTCCTCTACATTTCTTTGGTTCTCAATGTGATTGTTGAATGATAAAACTGCTATCTCACAATTTAGAGATTTGCAGTTTCATTTAATTAATCTATGAGCATTGCAATTTGAAAAGGTAACACTTTCAGTGCTTGTTTAGGAAACGTAACAAATGGGTTGCAATTTGAATTATTTTGTGCCATATGAATGATTTTTGAATAATTTCTGTTCTTGAAACACTTTCTGTGCAATTTGAATAATTTTTACTAATACCCAATTATGTATATTCATGTTCAAAGTCATTCCTTGACAAGCGTGAAAGTCAAACGGTTGCAACAAAGCACGAAGTAAGTATTAACTATCATGTAAGTACGCAGGGTTCCTAACAATCATAAAGCGATGTAAAATAAGCAAACCCCGCTACAAATGGGCTTAGGGTTTGCGGTTAGAATGCGAAATAAAGTAGGATGTCATGTGGCTTGCCAAATTTCACTGGCTTTCTAGCATTAATGTTATTTTCCACTTCTTGCTCGAGTCTGGGTCTTAACAGAAACAACCACTCAGCTCCCGGGGGTAGAGGTATTGTCTTTCTAGCATTAATGTAGATGGCAAGCTTTCCCTTGTCAATGTGACAAGAGGCTACCACCTCACGGTCACACAGCAACACGTAGCCGGTGCCCCAAAGCTCTCCTCTCCTCTTTATAGCTAAGACTGTAAAGACAAGAGGTATTGTCTTTACAATCAGTGAGGTGGTAGCCTCTTGTCACATTGACAAGGGAAGCCAAAACTGGATATTCACAAACCAACGCTAAGTCATATGGAGGACAGACTTCCACAATCTGTAAGGAATAATAATAGTACTGAATCAAAAAGTGTTCCAAAGAGGGAGGAGCCTTTACTGAACCGGGCCAAACATTCCTTGACAGAGCCTCCTTTTGCTAAACATACAGCACAAGAGAAGCCTGTCAAGGAGATAGCCATTAAGAAGAAAGAAAGTCGGATTCAAATCTACATGAAAGACACATCCAAACACACTGAAACAACAGTCACCCATTTTGAAGGTGAAGAAACAGGTGAAATGCAATGTGGATAGCACCTCTAATGTAAAAGGCAAATTGAGTGAGGAACATTCAATCGAGTTGAAAGAAAAAATATCTATGAGTTTGACAAAAAAGAAGGTGGACAAGAAATAGTGCATTGTGAATCAAAAGTTTTGACATTACATGTTCAGTTTTCATAAATTTTTAATTTCTTTCATAAAGTAAATACTCCGTAACATTTAGCATTGTGCTAATCAATATGAGATTGGGGTTTTACTTTTTGACTTTCTCTAGTAGCAGAAAGATGCAATGAAATTACACAAGAGTAGTCACCAAAATGCAGGACAAAATCTAGACATCAGTTATCAAAGAAATTGCAAAATCACCAGAAGGTAAGTTTACATGCAAAGTGTCTATGTCAAACATGAAGCTGATTTATGCCAAGTGAAAATGGGGTGTGGAAGAACATGACTCTTAGCTTATGTGATGCTGCAGGAGATAAAGAACTTTGCCAGGATCAAGTTATTAAAACTGCGCCTACCATAATTTCAGGTTCTTATACATTTGTCTTTAAAATAAAGTAGAAAAATGCCCCCTTTGTTCTTATGTAACTGTGTAATTAGTAATTAACAGTTTGAATGTTACAGAAAACCCACCAACTGAATCAGAAACGTGCAAGCCAAATCCCAAACAGAAAGAGCCATTGACGGAGCCAGAAAAGAATCTCAAGATATCATTTATCATAAGCCACTTATTCCTTAGCACTGCAGAAGCTCTCCTCAATCTGAACTTACCAGTGAGTGTGTTTTATGCAAATGATCATATCAATGAAGGGGCAGATCGTATGCCTACAGTAGACTGTGCCTATGAGGTAATGAAAAGAAAAGCGAGGAGACAAGAACTTTCTGCCTATCCCCAAGCCAGAATACCCATCATCAGTTACGTAAATATTAGATCTTTAGATGATCTGATCAGGCAACTGTGCAAGGACTTTGAGAAGTTGACCAGCTTTGACCGGAGTGGCTGTGAAGATTGTGTCAACGCAGTACTTCGATAACATGCTTCGAAAGACATGCAACGCAGTACTTCGATAACAGCTTTGTGCGTATACACACACACTTTTGCTGTTTTAGCAAGAAATTAACAACTTCCTCCAACAATTAAGAATAAAGAAACTAGGCTTCGCACAAGAAAATCTTCAAGAAATGTGTATGAACTTTGTATAGATTTTATGCAATAGTCAGGAGTTGATCAAAGCTACAAAAGATAGAGTATTAGCAGTGATATCGATCGGGAAAAGGGTGTCCTTCTATTCTACCACGTAGTCTATTTAAATGATAATTTCTCCACTCCTATTTGCTCTCCAACTGCCCGCCGAAGTAGCCGGCTCTATTTTGAACGTGCGCAGCTCTTTTCTTTCCTCCCAAGCTTATTCCTTCTTATCCAAAAGGAAGCTTTGACCCAGCCTTCATTATCCCCAACGGACTGGATCTCGACCCCTCATTGGGGCTACTCTGCTGGGAATAACAAATTGGGCCGGCATCTACCATTATCATTTAATGGCCCAACAATTGCCCCCAATTCGGAGGAATAGTTGCCGCCGACTCTAGGAGAATTTGAAACGGGCAACTTTCCCTTCGAATTAATGCGTCTCGGGTTCGGCGAAGATTTCTAATTGAACACTCCACCGGTGCCATCATCACTTTCAATTCGAAACCTCCGTCTTCTTCAAGAATTACTCCACTTCCCTTGCTTCCTTTCTGTTTCCATGGCTTCCCAAGTGTTCGTTCCCCAACATATTCTTGAACCAAAAAGTGCCAAACAAGCGAAGCTTACTGAAGAACAAGTCGAACTCATTCAAACATCCGCCGGTTTTCCACCCAACGCTGTCATCCGCTTCCCTGCAGCGAATGAACGCATGGATTGGTTTTGCCCTGGATGGATCAATTTCCTGTACTATCCCTTCAAAATTGGGATGAAGTTCCCCTTCTCTCACTTGACCCGGGGTTTCTTGGAGTTCGTCCACCTCTCACCTTCACAAATCATGCCACAGGTGTGGAGGATTCTTCGTGCGCTAGAAGTCTTGAGCGAGAGGCATAGCATTCCCTTCGATTTTGAGGATTTGGGCTTTACCTACGACCTTCGCACCTCCGGTCCTGGCAGATTCACGCTGGCAATGAAAGACAAGAGACCAAGACTTATTCACAAGGTTGACAAGGCGAATGACAGGGGTTGGATGCACTGGTACTTCTTCGTTCTCAGAGACTCGCTTGGCAACGAAGGGTCTTTCCTCGAAGATGACCTGCGAAAAGGTTAGAACAAGAAACTCTCTATTCCGGCCTTCCGTTGCCCTTAATTTCTACTTTATTTCTTTTTATTATTATTTTTTTTTTTATTTATGCTATACATGTGCCTTATAACTTTGAAATTGTTTGCAACTCTCTGTGTTCCAGAAAAGAAAACGATTTCCCTTCCTTCTGGGCCGAAATCAAAAGAAAGAACTGCACAAATTCAGGCTATCCCTGTTCAAGAGCGTTGGTTTGCCAGCCTTGTCGCTGAATCCCCAGGTACACTTCCCTCTCCCACGTCTACTAGACCTGCTGGATTAAGACGTTCTGCCCGCTTTATTTCAACAAAAAGTGAACTGATGCCGACTCCTTCTGTAGTCTCTCTTGAAGAATCGGGGCAGGACTCTGACGGCTCTAAAGAGGTTGAAGAAGAGAATATAGATGCGTATATTCCCATGCAGGTTGTTTTCCCGGTGGGTGAAGCTTCTCTGCCGGCTCCCAACAAGTGCCCCCCTGTGTCTACTGGTAACTATCGAAACATCTTCTGATTAAAACTGCCCAAATGTAGTGTGATTGCTTTTCCTGACTCCATCTCCTGGTTTTTGCTTTGTTGCAGCGGCTATGTCTTCTTCCAGCTCCCGTTTGACTCCATCTGCTCACGAATTGCTTGCTCTGGCTTCCAAGAAGAAAAGAGCCTCTCCCAGACTGGCTTCCACTCCTCAAAAGCTTCCCAAGCTGTCCGTTGCTATTGAAACCAAACCAAACTTACCTCGTCCCCACGAGGTCAAAACTGTTCCAGCCCTTAAGCCATTGGATGTAAAGATGTCACTTTCCCCTGACTTTTGTAGTCTACAAGACGTATCCTTGATGAGAGGAGAAATACACAAGCTCATGCTTCCTTCATCTCCAGATGTTTTCAAAGGCTTGCCCCCAGCTGGATTACTGTCTGCATCCTCGGCCTATGCTTTTCAGGTAAACATAGCTTTGCTTAGTTTCTACTTTGTAAGCAGTCTCCTGATGTGATGGTGTGATCTTGTCAGAGCTTGCAAGCTGGTCTGGTTGCTGCTGAGAAAGTGGCTTTGCTGGAGAAAGCTCTTGACGAGTCTAAGCATAATGAATCACTCTCTCGCTCTCTTGCGGAAGACAATGCCAAGCTAGTTCAGGATTTGCAAAAGGAAGTGACAGCTCAATCTGCACAGATTTCAAGGCTTGTTGACAGGATTAAGGCGCTTGAAGCTTATGGGCGGAAAAAGAAACAAGAAGTTATTGACGCAGCCTGCTACTACGTTTGGCAAACCCGGGGAGACCTGATGGCCTCTTTCCTTGCAGGTGAGTCGGCCAACTGGAATGCGGAAGAGGATATTGCCACCTGGAAGAAGGTTCAAGAGGATATGGATTCCCCTGTTGCTGAGGACGGCTTTGACGTGGGTCAGTCTGATGGTGAGGCTGACTCCAAACATGCTTAGATTATTTCGTTCTCCTTGACGTTTTTGATAAACATTTCTGATGTCCCGGAGTCCTGGTGGTTTATCCAGGACGGGAAATACTTTTGACGCTTTAAGCCTGTGCACTTGGTGGTTTATCCAAGGCTTGGCTTTTGTTTTGCTACGTTTGATGTGAAAACTTTGACGTGACCGCTTTTATATCCTGTCTGTGCGCACTAGTGCTGTATATATATGTGATGTCATGTATGTATGTTGATTTTGGCCAAAAACATATATGTTGTAAGGGCCGGTTGGGACTGTAATCCATGATACTCTCATGGGCAGCCCAACCCTTTCCCTTTTTAATGTTGATGTACAACACCCAATCGGTAAGGGTGCAAATGATGCTTTCCGTCCTTCGTAAGCTGGTCTTCTGCCGCTTGTCTCAAGTTGACCCTGCACTCACTACAAACCGTCAAAGTTGGCCGTCGGCTTTGAGCCAACGGCCCTCCGATGGTTAAGTCAGTAAGCAATTATGTATGTGTTTTAAGAACGAAATACACACCATACCTTTGATATGTCTCAGCCTTCCTTGTCTACCATAGAGCATTTCTTATAGTGCCCAGGACCGTCAAGGATCAGCAGGATGTATGACGTATCTAAGGGTCTTACCCAGCGCTTCACTTGGCTTCCTGCACTTCAAAGTTTTGTTAAGTCTGGCCGTTGGCTTTTAGCCAACGGCCCTCCGATGCCTAAGTTAGTGACTCGCTCTAATCGGATCATTAAGTAAGATATAAAAAAGATTTAGAAATGGAAAAGTTTTAAATGTACCGCATTCCAGCTTCTAGGAACCTGTTTACCGTCGATTGATTCTAAGCGATATGCCCCCTGTCCGATAATGTCAACGATCTTATACGGACCTTCCCAATTGGGGCTGAATTTCCCACTTGCTTCATTTCCAAATGCTCTTCTCAAAACCCAATCTCCCTTCTTGAACACTTTTGCCCGAACGTTCTTGTTAAAACTCTTTGCCACCATCTGTTGATAGGACTGTAGACGGATCTTAGCTTTCTCTCTAATTTCGTCGATAGTGTCAAGATCATGTATTAACTCGACGTTGTTCCGTTCTTCAGTCATAAGCCCATATCTTGAAGTCGGCACTTCAATTTCCGCTGGTATGACCGCCTCACAACCATACACCAGGGAGAAAGGAGTCTGTCCGGTCGCATTCTTTGGAGTCGTCCTGTCAGCCCACAATATCAGGGGTAACTCGTCAGCCCATCTGCCTTGTGCTTTCTCGAGTCTTTTCTTCAGATTGGACACAATGATTTTGTTGCTAGACTCGGCTTGTCCATTGGATTGCGGATACCTAGGAGTTGACGTTTCCAACCTGATGTTGTACCTTTCGCAGAAGCGTCGGGTTTTTGCACTTATGAACTGGGACCCATTATCACACACGATCTCCGACGGAATGCCAAACCTGCAAAGTATATTACGTCTAATAAAAGATATTACCTGTTCATCACGTACCTGACGGAATGGCTCAGCTTCCACCCATTTTGAGAAATAGTCCGTCATAGCCAACATGTAAACCTTCTGTCCTGGAGCTTCGGGCAGCTTTCCCACGATGTCCATTCCCCATTTCATAAAAGGCCAGGGTGAGAGGACCGGATGAAGCGATTCTGACGGCTGATGACGGATCGGACCGTGCTTTTGACAAACCTGACAACTTTGGGTGAAGGTGATTGCGTCATGCCGCATGGTTGGCCAGTAGTATCCAAATCGGAGAGCCTTGTTAGACAGACTCCTGCCCGCAGCATGGTTCCCACACTCGCCTTCATGAAGATCTTTGAGCACCCTTATGGCCTCTTGAGGAGCTAAACATCTTTGGTATGGACCTGCTTTAGATCTTTTAAACAGTACACCATCGATTAATAAGAATTTGGTTACCTTGGAGAGGAATGCCTTAGCTTCCTTTTTGTCTGATGGCAAGATGTTATGTCTCAGGTATGCTATGTATGGCTGCGTCCAGTCATCTTGTGAGGACGAACTGATTGTGCTGACGGACTCCAACCTGTCCATTGCCGGACTTGTCAAGTGGACGAAGGGGATGTTACTATTGATCTCTGCCCCCAGACATGACCCAATTGCGGCCAAAGCGTCTGCCTGTGTGTTCTCTTCCCTTGGTACTTGTTCAAGTGTGATCTCGTCGAACCACGCCATCAATTTCATGACGACTTGCAGGTAGGACGTCATCTTGGGATCCTTTGCTGCATAAACACCATTAGCTTGGTTAACTATTAACAAGGAATCACATTTTACCTGGAGTAGCTTGACACCCAAATCCTTTGCCAAAGTTAGGCCTACGATCAGCGCCTCATACTCCGCTTCATTATTTGTGGCGTTAAAATCACAATGAACGGCTTGGAGCATAGTGTCCCCCTGTGGCGACTTTAGCACTACGCCCAGGCCTGCTCCGTTTAAGTTCGACGCCCCGTCTGTGTGCAATGTCCACTTCTGTTGAGGCAGACCGTCTGTGATGATGCATGCTTCTTTTTCGGCTTCGGTTTGGAGCTTAGGGCTAAAGTCCGCCACAAAATCAGCAAGCGTCTGGGACTTCAAGGCAGTTCGTGGCTCGTACCGAATGTCATAGGCTCCCAGCTGGATTGACCACTTGGCCATGCGACCTGACAACTCTGGTTTCCTCATGATCGATTTCATGGGATAGTTAGTCCGCACACAAATAGTATGTGATTCAAAATATGGACGTAATTTAACCGATGCAGTGATCAAAGCTAAAACTAGTTTTTCAAGTAAAGCGTACCTGGTTTCGGGACCATTCAACGACTTACTTAAGAAGTATACCGGTGTTTGTATTCCGTCGTTTTCTTTGGTTAACACGGCGCTGACAGCATGCTCCGAGACGGCCAAATACAGTTGAAGTTCGTCGCCCTCCTTTGGTTTTGTCAACAGCGGCGGGGTTGTCATATATTCCTTCAATCGCTGGAGTGCCTGCTCGTGTTGATCTGTCCACTCGAACTTCTTGTTCTTACGAAGTACGTCATAGAAAAGGCGACATCTGTCAGATGACTTGGAGATGAAGCGGTTCAGAGCAGCAACTCGGCCTGTCAACCTCTGCACATCTTTGACTGACTTTGGCGATTCTATGTCAATGATAGCTCGGACCTGCTCTGGACTTGCTTCTATTCCACGTTCACTGACAATATAGCCCAAGAATTCCCCTGAGGACACACCGAAGGCGCATTTCGCCGGATTGAGCTTCAAGTTATATTCTGTCAACTTCTTAAATGATTCTGCCAGGTTGCCAACGTGGTCCTCAGCTTTCCTTGACTTGACGATCATATCATCTATGTATACTTCCATGGTTTTCCCAATTTGATCTTTGAACATCATGGTGACGAGCCTTTGAAACGTTGCACCTGCATTTTTTAGACCAAATGGCATAACAATATAGCAATACGTACCTGTTTCAGTAATGAAGGCCGTCTTTTCTTGATCATTAGAATGTAGCTGAATCTGGTGGTATCCGCTAAAGGCGTCCATGAACGAGAGCATCTCATGTCCGGCGGTCGCATCGGCCAATACGTCAATGTGTGGCATGGGGAATGAATCCTTTGGACATGCTTTGTTCAAATCGGTGAAGTCCACGCACACACGCCATTTCGCCTTTTTTCCCTTTGCTGCCTTCTTTTTGACGACAACGACGTTAGCTAGCCAATCTGGATATCTGACTTCTCTAGCTTTCCCGGTTTGGAGAAGAGCCTCGACCTCTTGGTTTATGATGTCGTTCCGCTCCCTTGCAAAACGTCTTCTTCGTTGTCTGACTGGTTTATATGACGGATTGACATTTAACTTGTGCGTGATGATCTTCGGGTCAATTCCCGTCATGTCTTTGTGACTCCAAGCGAATACATCTTTATGTTGTCTAAGAAACTGGACCAATTCAGCTCTGAGGCTTGCTGGCAAATTTGTCCCGATGCGGATGACCCGTTCTGGATGCTCGTTGTCGATGACTACTTCTTCCGTTTTTTCGTCATCTTCCTCCAAAGCTGGGTCACCCTTTAGTTGCTATGCTGAAGTTGGAGGGTTTGCTGTAGGCTTCATGGCCGTCTGATAGCAGGACTTGGCTACCACCTGGTCTCCCCGAATGGACTCTATTCCCCAAGGCGTTGGGAACTTGACGACCTGGTGATACGTTGACGGAATGGCTCCCATTTGATGCAACCATGGCGTCCCCAAAATCATGTTGTAAGCTGGGAGGTCCTCGACTACATCGAACCTGACCTGCACATTAAGACCGTTAGCGTAAACAGGGAGAGAGATATTACCTATGGTCCGGCTCGGCTCTCCGTTGAAGCCGACGAGGGTAGATCCTGATTTTGCTATGTCATCCTCTTTGATTCCCATCTGCTCAGCATCCGCATGGTAGTTATGTTGGCCGTGCTTCCGTTGTCAACAAGGACCCTCTTCACTTCAAAGTTTGCCACCCTAAGGGATATGACCAGAGTGTCATGGTGGGGTTGCATAGGGTCTGGCATATCTGACTCGTCAAAAGCGATGGCCGTGCTTCTCCAATCGTCACGTCGTCTTTCTACTTGACACACCTGCAATGACTTGTCTCGGGAATACTCCCGAGCGTGTCTCTTGGCAGCAGAATACGTTAGGCCACATAAATCCGACCCGCCATTAATAAAATTAATTACCTGGCAGGGAGCCGAAGGTGATGGAGGTCGTGTCGCTTTAGTTGACGGTTTGTCAGTTCGTCCTAAAAGAGCTTTAGTCCGTTCTGACATGATTTCCGTCAGATATCCGTTCTTCAAAAGATAAGCGACCTCCTTTCGCAATGCGACGCAGTCCTCGGTGTTGTGCCCGATGTCGTTGTGGAAGTCGCAATGTTTGCTCGGGTCTCGCTTTCCAGCTGGCTTGTCGGTTCTCTTGGGCCATCTGACTTTCTCCCCCAACCTCTCCAACGAGTTGATGAGCCCCGCTGTACTGACATTGAAGCAGAAGTCGGGAATAACTGGAGGTAGATCAGGATCGTCGAGCCAATGCGTCGTTGCCGTAACGGGTCGCTCTTCAGCTTTGGCGTAAGGCTTGCCAGTTCGGTAGTCATGCCTCCTGGACGTACTGGACTTGCGGTGCCCCCCTTCATAACTGTCAGCATGTGGTTGTGCCCGCAAATCCTCCTCTAACCTGATAAAGGCCAAGGTTATAGCCTGGACGTCTTCGAATGTGCGACAAG